ATCTAGTGCATGCCTGCCACACACTTGGATTTTCAGTGCGTGAAGTCTGAAAAGATTGTCTAAATTTTCAGATTTTTTTAACAGTGAGATTATTGATAAGAGGGCTCCAGAGAATCCTGTCAAAAAATTAACAGAATTTTCCGTACCTTTTTCCGACAGTAAATGGTTCCCTGAAATCCCCATTGCTGTGCCACCTACCTACCTTCGTCATTTTCTTTATTATCCATGGCAGAAGTCGGAATTCAACAATGTCGCCGCAGCGTTTGAGGACAACCATAGACCACTTGACTCGGTGGCTCGTAGCACTTGGACGATAATGAGGATCTGCGGAGCCACAGACTCACTCGTGGTGTGATCGGCCTGCCAGCGCTCCGAGCCAGCCCGAAGGAACGGAGGGAGGGGGCTGTCACGTGTTATGTAAACGATTTGACTGACCGCCTTCTGAAGGAAGCTGGATCCTCACGCCCTTAGGACCTCGAGAGGCTATCTACTAGATGGTGAAGATAAAGGGGACTTGCTTGCCTCTCTTTATCAGCGGAGATCAGAACCTATTGATACACGACTTGCGGACAGCGTCACGTCTAAGTGCTGAAAAAAAAAAACCAGGAAAAGTGGCACTTATCGGCAACTTTGGGCCGTCTCATACTGTGAGTGAAATGTGTGAATTTCGCCCATGTCCAACCCTTACAGGATTTGAACCTGAGTCTGGGTCAAAACAGACGTTATTTTCGTCATCAGCGCCCTCGGACAGTCAGAAACAATGCAAAAACTCAATTAAATAACAGGAAAAGTAGCGATATACATCGGCAACTTTGGCCCGTCCCGTACATTTCGAAATATGCGACTGTCACCTATGTTTAACCCTGACGATTTTTGGTTTCATACCCCCAAAGCTCTGGCTAACTTTTGTCCCATTAGGACTCGAATCTGGGTCGGAGGTCGAAATACATTCCATTTTCATTATCAGCACCCTCCAAAACATGTGAATTGATGTAAAACGTAACATATGTCAGTAAAAAGTATTTTTTTTTTGCCGTTTTTAAAGTGTTTGTTGGCTGTAATGACCACATAGATACGCTGGAGGAGTGGGCCGCTGACCGTGTTCCTCCGCCAGGACCGGAGGGACTATGTTGCCATGCTTTTCTTATGGGACCTGATTTTGAGGTTCCCAGTGCAACCTCATGGATGAAAAGTTAACAAAGAGAGCTGAATTATCGAAAAGACCGAGGGCCATTTCACAAGTTTTGACTCTTTAAATATGATTTTCCTACGAAATCGTCTTAATCGTGGCGCGGAGGCCCGGCAGCGCACCGTGAGTTTTTCATACCGGCTGGTTTGTTGTTGTTGTGGAGGGAAACATGGCGCTGTCACTCGAAGCATTTGTGAGCACCTTTGGGGATTGTAAATACCAAAAAATACGTAAAAGAGGGCATATTGCGTACATAGACAAACATGTTTTGTCATTTAATTTTGATCGGGATAATGGTGTCATGTTTGAAAAGGTTATGCCTATTCAGAGATCCGGCTCCTGTGATGTCAAAGTAAGTGTCGCGTAACCTCTCGAAAAATGTGTTTCTGTCAACTTCAAGTGAAATTTACTCCTGGGTTTTGCATTGACAGACCTGTGTTTGTTAAGAGATGCTATTACAGAATGCATGTGTGAATGTGCCAACGGCCAAGCACTTTGCCATCACATGATTGCATTTTGTTGCCATGCCATGAAAGACGTCTCCTCGGAACCTAACCTAACCTAACCCAGCTGATCTGGAAAACCAATGGAAGAATCCTTGGAACCAACAGCCTATTGAAACAGAGTCAAATTTATTCAGTACACACTTAATGTCATGGGACTTTTTTTGTCCCACGGTTTATGCAATTTTAAGCACATCCGGTAGTGATGCAATTTTGTGTCCGCCAGGCGGGACAAATTGTCTAGTGAAAGTACAAGTTGCAGCTGGCGCCGGACAAAATGTGTCACCAGACGGGAACAAAATTGTATCAGCGTCGGATGTGCTTAAAATTGCATAAACCGTGGGACAAAAAAAGTCCCATGACATTTAGTGTGTATTTTCTCACACTTATCTTTCATTTCTAAATTTCTATGTTTTTCTTTTTGGTGCAGGTTAAGACGGTGAATGAGATTTATCAGCCTAAAGCCGTCCCTAATGTTTCTGTGAAGCCTGTCACAGAAGATGACATTTCCAATCTAGTGAAAAGAATAAGTGAAGTGTCGCCTTACTGCGGGCTAGCATGGATGGATACGAGGGGGTATGCGCTCTCTGAACCTGTGTACCGACTATTACGCTATTACGCTCTATTACGCCACAAATTAATCGGAATTTAGTTAAAAACGGCCTAAAACACACCAAAATTGATAAAATTTTGACAATGTCGGCTATTACGCGACTATTACGCGTATTATTACGCGTGCTATTACAGATAGAGTGAACCGACTATTACGCGAGTGCATACCCCCTCGGATGGATAGCTCAGCCTGAACCCACTGAAGCCGCCAAAAAAGTGTCATTCATTGTCTTTCAAGAAATTATTTCAAGTGAAAGTTTTCTTACGTGTGATGATCCAGCTGCTTATTTAGTTTCTGCTCTTCGTGTTACTAGAGCCCAAACTGATGATGTGGTGTACCGAGCTCCTAAGGTCGCCGTTAGGTTGGCACTGCCCGGCAGCGCCCCCAGCGGCGACCACTGGAAGCTCGGCCACACCGCACTCTACCAAAAATGTCCTGTAAATGCCGTTAATTTATTACCAGTTTTTACTGTAGGTCAATTCACAGCGTTTACTGTGATCTGCTCACGGGATTCACTGTGATCTTGTTCACGGTGTTCACTGTGATCTGGTCCCCAGTAAACACTGTGAGTTTGACGCCGCTGAGCACCGAAGTACTGCCAATCAGGCTCCAATTCACGGCGTTTACTGTGGCCAGATCACAGTGAACACTGTGACCGAGATCACAGTGAACGCCGTGAACTAGTTCACAGCAAACGCCGTGAATTGCATAACAGCAAACATTGGTAATAAATTAACGGCGTTGACAGGACATTTTTTGTAGAGTGCGCGCTCCCCCGCCGGACGACAGCGGTCCTCACTTGCATTGACAGCATCACTTGGTGTAGTTCATTGTCCCTACTTGTCCTGATAAGTTCCAGCCAGTGAATAAGCTGAGGTACACGAAGACAATCAGAATCTACTCAAGAACACAATAGTGGCGACGAGGATGAGATTCAGAGTAAAAGTGGCTGTTCTGTAACATATATTATTGAAGTAGGCCTGAAATTCGTGTGTATGGTGGTGATTTGTTTCACATTCCAGGTTCAAAAATGGATTTTTCTGGACCCCAATGAGGCCCCCATTCATGATCTACAAGATCAAATGAACTATGCTTGTTTTGAGCAGCGGTTCCTTCACAAGTTGTTCAATCCGATTCATGATCTACAAGATCAAATGAACTATGCTTGTTTTGAGCAGCGGTTCCTTCACAAGTTGTTCAATCCGAATGATCAATCAGAGGCTCTGGACTTACTCCGTGAGGTTGGTCTTTGTGTTTGTTTGGCAACAAAAAGCACAAAATTCACTTGGCAAAAACAGGGAATCAAAAGATGCCGGAGGTATCTTCCACATCTTCGTGTGTAGGTTAGGGGTGCTCGGCATTATATTCTCAATTCTTCGCAAAACTGATACACCTGCTCTGCGACTAACAGGAGTTTTGCAGCTTGGCGTAGACACTAAACTGTTTCCTTGATGTTGCTGCTGCTGAGAGGAAGATGACTCAACAAGGACAGGGCTTTCACCATCAGCACTAACCTTCTTCTTACGGTACACATAATCATTACAATTTGAAAGACGCTTTGATTTGATAGTGGAGGCTGGCGGTAAGTTGTGGAGCAGGATTTGGAATAGCACCAGGGATTAGCAATAGCTTCTTTTTACTTGAAGGATTTTGCCGACGAGGATTAACTACGACTCACGTAAGTACCCAGTGTGGGGTAATGTTATGTATTAGTGAGTGCAGTGGTAAAATGGGCCGCAAATTCACCCCGTACGACTATACACTCCGGCAGTGGGGTGGGCAGGGCGTGACCATCATTGGCAAGTGTCCGGTCCGCGTTGAGAGCGGGCAGCGCCAAGCAACAGTCATGCTGCTCATTGCCGCAGGCAACGGGCCGTTCTTAGTGGGCCGGGATTGGCTGCGCTCGCTAGGCTATGTCCTAGCGCAGCAGCGGACAACATTAGTCAATCACTTGGCCCCGCCGGCTCAGCCCGAACTCGGGACGGTACCGGAGGAGCTCCGGGACATGGAGTGTTTTCACCCAGGGTTGGGTGAATTCAAGGGGCAAGTGGCATCGCTCACGGTGCGTTCCGACGCCACTCCGGTGTTCCTGCGGGCCCGACCTTTGCCCTTTGCGAAGAAAGCGAGGGGGCAAAAACTCGGGATTTTCGTGTACACATGATTCGGAAAACGCAATGATTGCGCATGGTTTTAATTGATTTCATGGCTGATTTTGCCTTATTTCGCGACGCACCAGGGTGATGTAGAGCGTGATTGCGTGTGATTGTGTTCGGAAAGAAATGATTTCGGACTGATTTTGCCTGGTTTCGTGTAATTCTGCCTAATTTCGGTCGATTTTAGTGATTTTGGCTGATTTCGGATTGCTTGATTTCGCGTGATTCTCAATGATTCGCGTGTGATTTCGGGGGCCGTGTACACATGATTGCGCGAGTTTTTGCCCCCTCGGAAGAAAGCGATTGTAGGGGCGGAACTAGATTCTATGGTGGCAAGGAAAATTCTGTCACCGGTGGAAGAAGCCGATTGGGCCACGCCCATTGTCTGCATAGAAAAGGCAGATGGATCGGTACGGATTTGCGGCGACTACAAGTCGACCGTGAACCGTTTCCTCCGAGCAGACAGCTACCCGCTGCCCACCCTACAAGAAGCTTTCGCTAGCCTCGCGGGGGGAAAACTGTTCACTAAACTCGATCTCAGAATGGCGTATAACCAGGTCAAGTGCGACGACCAAACAGCTCGTTTGCTCACACTTAATACCCATAAGGGGCTGTACAAAATGAACCGTCTGCCGTATGGAGTATCGAGGGCCCCGCTCCTATTCCAACGGATAAAAGACACGCTCCTGAAAGGGCTTGAAGGTGTGGTGGTGCTTTTGGATGACATTTTGATTAGTGGTAAAGACCAAGCCCAGCTTAGGGCAAGAGAGAAGCAGGTGCTGGTGCGGCTCAGTGAGGGCGGCCTGCGGCTCAAGCTGGCAAAATGCCAATTTGGGGTCACGCAGGTCCAGTACTTAGGGCATGTTATTTCAGCACAAGGGCTAGCTCCCCTCAATGATAGAATAGCCGCGCTCAAGGCAGCGCCGGCGCCAGGAAATGTTGCCCAGCTCCAAGCGTTCTTGGGCAATTAAGCTTTCTATGAAAGGTTCCTGGAGAACAGAGCCACTGTGGTGGCCCCGCTTTACCAACTCTTGAAAAAAGAGGTGCCATGGGCATGGGGAGCGGAGGAGCAAAAAGTGCTACAAAGCGCTACAACCACTCAAGTCAGCAATCCGCCTGCCATCTGTTCCTTTGTAGCATCCCTGCCCCATCTCTCCATCCGAGGTCAGCTGGCCTCTAGAATCTCCTATTGAGCTATCATTAGGGAGAAAGGTTTTGTTCTTTTCCCTCCATTTTATGTGTTACAGGACTTCTGTGTAGCAAGAAGTGGATTGTCACTCAAGTAAACCGGCCGTCGTCCGTCATCATAGCAAGTTGTAAGAGCTGCAGAACACAGAAACCTTTGAACTTTAAAATTTTAATGAAGGAGTATTGATATGGGTCTGGAGGCGAAAAATCAAGTAAATATAGATTGAGAATTTTTATTACAGGTTCACTCACTTTCTTTGGTGTTGGATTCTATGGATACATATTTCACATTATTTTCAAACAGCATTCTAACTCAAACAGAAAACATCGCTGTCCTGGGCACCACTAAAATGTCGTTTGTCTCTTCCACTACAAATGAGTTTGGTACAAAGATATTCTCCACAAAAGTTTGAAAATACTTGATGTGCGACAGCTTTTTGATCACAGCAAGAATGAGTTTCTCACAGTCACATTTTCATTTACAAGAACAGCTATTCACATCAATAAAATACTGAATTGATCCTCTTTCAAGCTTGTCATTGAAAGTGAATTCTGCGGTACCGTCAACGGGGGTAACTTGGGACACCGGGGGTAACTTGGGACAGTCTGCCCTGCACAACTTGTTGGTGCTGCCATTCAGCGATGGGGGTTCCTAGCGTCAAACCCGCGGCAGGGTTTTGTTTCAGAGGCCTCAGGACACGCGCGAAAAGGTGGAAGAGGTGCATAACATCACAATTAGTATTTCAGAAACAGGAAACTACATAATATGGTTTTTGACAAAATATGTCAATCATTGACAAGTTGACCCTAGTGCAAGGAGTGAAATGCAGATTTGGCTAATAAGTCTCGCTGGGTTGTTAGATCATACACAGACAATAACGTTCGCAAAAGGGCATTGATTATAGTTTTCCCATCTTCGGTCTAGAACTCAATTTATCAAAAATCGAAATTTTGCGGGGTAACTTGGGACAGTCTTTTCCTCATGTTTCCAGCAGTCCTAGCCTTCTAGGAGTTGACTGACCCGGTCCCTGACCTAACTTAAACTTCGGATATTACGCTGATGATGGAAAGAGATGCCTTGCTCTGCAGTATTGTGTTCTGGTAATCCATATTTTGAAATTTTCAGAAAATGCTTCGATAACACCAGTAGAAAAGAGAGTTCCACGGAGAGCCCTAGATATAGTCCAATATCGGTCCTACAAGAGTTTCTAAACCTGAATTCTTGGTCTACATGATGTGACTTAAATTTATTATATACATTAACATCAATAGATGCATAGAAATGTAGGTAATTACCTACTGTCCCAAGTTAACCCCGGTCATGGGGTAACTTGGGACACTCTTTCGAGACCGCTGGGAAACGATATAATCGAGGCAAACGAACCAGACAAGCATGAAATCATGGGGAAAGTGTCAATCTGTAACATAGTTGGGATCCATTGGTCTGGGTTGAGAATCTTGCCTGTGGCGTTCAAAACACGTGAAAAAGTGTCCCAAGTTACCCCCGTTGACGGTACTTGAATGTCTACACTACATTTTTATTACGTAAGCCTTCATTAAAATATGGTCAACAAAACGGGCACTTTCTGTGCAGAAAAATAAAATAAAGAGATAAGAAACATAAAAATCATCACCTATGACAAAAGAGCTGTGTTCATTCGCCCTTGAATCTTGACGCCTGCACTCTACAAAAAATGTCCTGTCAACGCCGTTAATTTAATACCAATATTTGCTGTTATGCAATTCACGGCGTTTGCTGTGAACTAGTTCACGGCGTTCACTGTGATCTCGGTTACAGTGTTCACTGTGATCTGGCCACAGTAAACGCCGTGAATTGGAGCCTGATTTGCAGTACTTCGGTGCTCAGCGGCGTCAAACTCACAGTGTTTACTGGGGACCAGATCACAGTGAACACCGCGAACAAGATCACAGTGAATCCCGTGAGCAGATCACAGTAAACGCTGTGAATCGACCTACAGTGAAACTGGTAATAAATTAACGGCATTTACAGGACATTTTTGGTAGTGTGTGTGCACATTTAACGAGAAACAGAAAATAAATGCATTTGCAACAGCACCAGTTGTCAATCAAGCCCCTCAGAAATGATGCTGCATTTTCTCACTTGACATATCTTCCCATTTCTTAAGGCCAGGGACAGGTGAAAAAATGAAGAAGTTTGGTGAAATTGAACGAAATGAGTTCTGGGTGGAAAATGGTCCTTTGGACCTTCCTCTTTCAGGATCTGTCGGGACTTCGACTATCCGGGACCTGGAAGTGCTTAAAATACATCTTTTCGCACACTCCTGCATTTCCGACATTTTAGTAAAATTGTCCGTTTTGCCATCAGGGGGGGGGGGTTTCTGGTGAAAATCTTGCAATTTTCAAAATGAACCCCACTGTCATAATTTGTTGGGAATATGAAATCATACTTCAAAGAGACTAAGATTTGATTTTTGAAGGCATATGCTAGGTCTTGAACCCAGTCGAATTGTCTTTTTTGGACTGTTTTGGCTTTATTTAGCCGTATCTTGAAAAATCCTCTTGCGCATACTATTTTGACGTAAAAGGCTTACCTTTACATTTTGCACTTCTTCGATTCATTTTAAAAAGATTCCAGCATGCCTAGTTCAAAATTTCCATTATATTAGTAATCACATGATTTTTTCATCTAAGAAGTCACCAAAACTTGTCTATTTTGTACATTGTTGATCAATTTAAGTGAAATGCATGCTTTAGAAGCTTGCCAATGATTGGCTGAGCGATAGCGAAGCCCGTTACTCCAGTGCGGTTGAAAAGTTTTGTCTGTCTGTCTGTGTGTCTGTCTGTCTGTGTGTGTACACTACTCCTCCTAAACGGCTCGGCCGATCTGGCTGAGACTTTGCAGGCTTACTAGGTATGTTCTTGGCTCGGCACACGCGAAATTTCACTATCCTAGCTCAACTGGTTCAGTTTTTATAGCCGAAAAACACCTAAAAAACGGCGAAAAATCGAGTTTTCTGCAGGTAGATCACCTCCGTCTTGAGGAAAGGGGGGTCTGGGGGGCGGAGCCCCCCAGCTTAGACAAGTTAAAAAGTGACAAGGGTCAAGATCGTGTTATCTGTAGATGAAGCAACTCTATCTAGAATTAAGGGGGGTCTGGGGGGCGGAGCCCCCCAGCATGCAACACGTAAGAAGTAACCGACGATGGACAAGCCAATGCCTGCCGAAGGCAGGCTAGCGCCGCAGGCCAAGGTAGGTACGCCAGGCGGAGATTGGAGGAACAGGCCGCGAGACATCGCGAAGCCTGTTACGACAAGACGCGGTCTGGCGTAAACCTACCTTGTATTGTAATGGACATTTTCAGTTGTGCATGCTGCGATCTTTTAAAAATGAATTGAAGAAGTGAAAAATATCCAGGTCAACCTTTTACGACAAAAGAGTATGCGCAAGGAGATTTCTTTGGCTGGAAATCCATTAAAATCTGTCACCAAACTTTAAACGCCCTTTTCTCCGAAGACATTTTTTGAACATTTGAATGGTCCTGTGCGCATACAGTTTGAAGTGTCGTCAATGATATTTTTTCCACTGACTCAGTAGGTTATTGCGAGGAAACGCAAGTGACAGTTTTTGTATATTCCACCCAGAAGTATGGTTTTAAATATCGGTTTTTACAAAAAAAAGGAAAAATCTTTGGTTTTTGAATCTGTCACTTGTGTTTGTTCTTTGGACTTAGACGAACAAAAAAATATGTCGGTCAGGTCAATAACCCAAAATGGGAAACGCACAGGAATTTTTTAACAAACACTTACAAAATTATAAAAAAGCCTGTATCTCAGGAACCGCTTGATATTATTGTGACGGTGGTCACGCGGGGACCGCCCAGCCGAAAAGTGCAAGCGAAGGCAGATGCTCGGGAAGGTAGGGAACCGACTGGCGAGCCGTGCCGGGGCTCGGCAGTCGGTGTGGGGCCTGCCAGCGGCCAAGACCAAACCAAGAGTCGGGAGTGCTGAGAGCTTGTATCAAGGTAACCGGACTCCTTTCTTATTCTACAACCCTCCCACCCGAGTAACCCCCTGACCATCAGAGAGCTACATCCCTGACAAGTGCTCTGGCCCACTAAACTGCCTGCTGGGTCCGGGACTTGTACATGGTGGAGGTGCTGAGGGTTTTAGTTTTAAGCTTCACTTGGGTGGGTACCACACCGGCTCACTTTAGGTTAAGGAACGACCAGCGCCACCGTCTGGCCGGTCAGCGGGGTCGTTTAGGTTTAAGGTTTTAGTTTTAGGCCCGCGCCGCGCCTGTGTGTTCGCGAAAAGCCGACAGGCCGGAGGCTAATTGGGCATGTTTTAGTTTTAGGCCCGCGCCGCGCCTGTGTGTTCGCGAAAAGCCGACAGGCCGGAGGCTAATTGGGCATGTTTTAGTTTTAGGCCCGCGCCGCGCCTGTGTGTTCGCGAAAAGCCGACAGGCCGGAGGCTAATTGGGCATGTTTTAGTTTTAGGCCCGCGCCGCGCCTGTGTGTTCGCGAAAAGCCGACAGGCCGGAGGCTAATTGGGCATGTTTTAGTTTTAGGCCCGCGCCGCGCCTGTGTGTTCGCGAAAAGCCGACAGGCCGGAGGCTAATTGGGCATGGTTTAGTTTTAGGCCCGCGCCGCGCCTGTGTGTTCGCGAAAAGCCGACAGGCCGGAGGCTAATTGGGCATGTGTTAGTTTTAGGCCCGCGCCGCGCCTGTGTGTTCGCGAAAAGCCGACAGGCCGGAGGCTAATTGGGCATGGTTTAGTTTTTAGGCCCGCGCCGCGCCTGTGTGT